TATATATGCATCTTATTTCCTCTTTACTGCTCTGCTCTGTTTAACTTCTTTCTGCTGGTATCAGACCTCAGGTTGTTGATGCTGTCACATCCTCCCAGACCTCTGAATCCCTGGATGCCATGCTTGAATTCCTTAACTTCACTGATGCCAAAGGTTTGGTTCTGCAGGAGAGGTTTCTCTATGCATGTGGCTTTGCTTCACATCCCAATGAGAGAATGCTCCAGGCCCTGCTGGTGAGTTAAAGGAAAGTTTAAGAATTTCTCCCACTTAGAAGGTATCGTAAGAAACTGGTGCCCTCTAGGTAATAAGATAATAATGCAGGATTCACTCCCAGTTGGTTGTAAACAAAGAATAATTTTGCTTAAGTTACCTGCCAGCAGTCAGTGTTTTCAGCAAATTGTTATAAGGAACATTTTCCTTTCAGGATATTTCTAAAGGGAAGATCGGCAGTACTGACATCAAAGAATCTGTGGTGATCATTATGGGAGCCCTGGTCCACAAACTGTGTCAGAAAGGAGGCTGCAACTTACCTGTGAGTCATCTAAAGAAGAAGTGACACTGAACAAAGCCCAGCATTTCTTAAGGGCCAGAAAGTGTGCCCTACATACTGGAATATACTACAAATGCAATAAAAATGACCAACAGTTAACTGCTTCATGTTTGTCTCTCAGATCGTGGAGCAGGTCAAGAAGATGATATTGAACGCTCCCGACAGCACAACGGTTGAGTCGGAGGTCCAGATGTACCTTTTGGCCCTAAAAAACTCTCTCCTGCCCGAGGCCATTCCTATTTTCACCAAATATGCAGAATCAGAAGTGGGAGCCTACAACACCATTGCCCTCACTGCCCTGCAGAGATACGATGTGAATCTCATGACCAGTGAGGTATGTATCAAATATTACTCTGTGGTTAAACAATTACACACCAAAATACTTTCCTGCCAGCTAATCTCTTTTTTTTTTTTTTTTTTTTTTAGGTCAAGCAAACAGTGAACAGGGTTTACCACCAGAATCGCCGCATCTATGAGAAAAATGTGAGAGCCGCCGCTGCTGACGTCATCCTCAGTAGCAACCCCACATACATGGAGGTGAAGAATCTGCTTCTGTCCATCGGAAACTTGCCACATGAAATGAACAAGTACATGCTGTCAAAGATCCAGGACATCCTACGCTTCCAGATGCCTGCCAGGTGTGTTACAGGAAAATAACCTGTCTCTGCATCATAGCTCAGAAGGACTTGACAGTTATATGATGACGATATATTAAAACTGTTAAATATGTTTCCCTTTTTTTTTCAGCAAAGTGCTAGGGCAAGCTATGAAGGACATGATTTCTTGTAACTATAACCGCTTTGCAAAGGTTGGATCATCATCTGCATTTTCAGGATTCATGGCTCGTAAGTGACAAAAGAATGACATATTTTTTTTAATTGTGATGAAATATTAAAAGTAAGTCAGCTTAATTAAAGAAAATATCAATCTTTGACTATATAAGCAAACACAGTTACATGCATACTAACTGAGTACTTCCAATGTCTTGCTCCCTACAGAGTCCCCCGATCTGACCTCCACATACAGTTTGGACATCTTGTATTCAGGCTCTGGGATCCTCAGAAGAAGCAACATGAATATTTTTGGTGCTACTAACGAAGCAATGCTACATGGATTACAGGTGAACTTAAAGAGTTTCATGAAATCACTGAATCCTCAAAAATAGAGTGAATTACTGAAATAAATGGGAACATTTCTCTTCCAGGTGGCGATCGAGGCCCAGGGTCTGGAGACTCTGATTGCTGCCACACCTGATGAGGGGGAGGAAGACCTGGAGTCCTTTGCCGGGATGTCGGCTCTGCTTTTCGACATCCAGCTGCGTCCTGTCACCTTCTTCAAGGGTTACAGTGACCTCATGTCTAAAATGTTCTCCATGACTGGAGACCCCATCAATGTTGTGAAGGGTCTCATCCTGCTCTCGGATCATTCTGAGGTAAGATCCCAATCACAGTTATCAGCTGTTCCCAGAAGCCTTTCCACTCCTTCAAAAACAGTGTCTGATTTGCAGATTGTAGTTCACTCTGTTCAAGGAAAAGCAGCACACACTTAAAAACATACACGTGTACACTCTGTGTGAAGTCAGAAGTGCCGTCATTGTTGCTACATCACGTTGCCACGTGGATGACTAAGAGTGCAATAAGCAGACTTTGACACTGGAGACGGAGGCTGAAGAGGCTTAACGCTGAAGTCAAACTTAGCGTAAATGTCAAGAAAGCGTAGAGGAGGCAGGGCAGAAAAAGCTCACATGAGTCATGCTGGGCAACACACGTCTTTTTCACTTGGTCAGATGCAACGACTATGTGTACACAGACACAGAGAGGAACGGGTCACACTTAATAACTCCAGCTGTCGAGGTGAATGACGCAAGTGTGAGTAGGGTCTAAATGTGTGAAGCTGAAACAAGGATGAGGTATTGTGAAACAGGTGCTATTTTAAAAACAGTGCTTTTTTTAAAATTTTACTTTCATATGATACTCTATCCCTTTTGTATTGGCTTTTCGATGGAAATGCATGGAATCGGTTCTGACTTCAGTGTATCCATAGAAAAGGGTTACTTCCTGTCTGTGACTGTGACAAGCTCATTATTTCCTACAAAAGCAGATTTCAATCTAGAATCTTTCTGTGTATACAAAAGCCAAGTTGATCATTGTTATTTTCTATTTTGGACTGAATTCAGACATTGATCATTTTATTTTTTGTCAGCTTGTGAGTATTTATGTTGTCGACTTAATAAACTATTGTTAGTTTGGGTAGTAGAAGTGATTCATTCTCATTCATGACTGATATATAATTATGTTTGTCAGAGTGTGATGAAGACTTAGAGTTAATATGGTCTGGTGTGTTTTTTTTCTCATTTTCTGGCCTAATATACACAAAGAATAAATGTGATATGAAGTTTAAACTAGAAAAGAAGTTTCTTGTTTTCCTAGGGTTAATTTCCACATGCTTACAGCACTTAATACCTAGAAAGACTCACATTTCTTTCTTTCTTTTTTTGCAAACTATCTTAATTTCAATTAAGCATCCATTGTGGTATTTCTTCTTATTTGCTGTCTTTCAGGTCATCCAGCTCCAGTCTGGTCTGAAGGCAAGTGCGGAGTTTCAAGGAGGTCTCGCCATTGACATTTCTGGAGGCATGGAGATCAGTCTGTGGTACAGAGAGTCCAAGACCAGTGTCAACAACAGGTACATTGAAATAAACAACTTTTACCATAAAACAGCGTACAACACAGCACAAAAAGCCTTTTGATAGACAGACAGTTCTTAGAAAACACTCTCTGCGACTGAACGTCGATTCTAAACCCCATCACTCCACTGCAAATAGATTTCTGTTGATGTTGGATTTACGTGAACTTTAGACAGTCTATAAGTGTTGTCTGATTCATTTGTTCCATCTGCACTTTGGATTTGCTCCAGTATTGTGCTTCACTCCTGTCTCACTGGTAGGGTTGTGTGGCTATGACATCAGGTCTGTCTGGTTCTCTATTTTAAAAACATTACAGTCAATGCACAACAGTAACTCAATATCAGTTAGCTGTCGGCATCCGGTGATGAAAGAGTAATGCTACAGATTTTTAATATTCATATGTGGTTTGATGGACTGCACATCAGTGCTCATGTCCTGCATCTAGAATGTTTAAACTTGAGTCCCGGAGCTGGTTAATTTAAGTGATTAAAGAGAAGCTTCAGAATGATTCACTGTGATGATGATGTTAGAAACAATGCCTTGGTTTGTAGACCATTGTTTGGAGGGGTGTTCGCAACTTGAAGTTGGACTTCAGGACTGTTTGTGTGCAGGGGAATGGCAGAGGCAGGTGAATGGATCAGCATAGCTGTACCTCTTCCACTCTGATAATAGAGTGGCAGACTATCTATAGAAGCAGAACAAACCACATTGGTATCTCACCATGTCTACATGAGCAAAGTTTTGACTATTTAGTGCTCAGGCATTAGGGTAGACATTGGGATTGGGCTTATATATGTACCTTTCCCTCTGAGTGTCTTCTTAACTGAAACTTGCTTGACTTCTGTTCACTTTATCCTCATTCATGTGATAAACCCCACCAAGAAGTAGGCTTATACTGGTGGTATCACCAGTACGTTGATAGCATATTAGAAGGAGAAGCAGATTATAGTCAGTGGTGGTTCTATAGTCTGTTCATAGGGTTCACCTCCAACAAGCATTCATCACCACAGTGTTATAAATAATCTGACATGAAGAAAACAATTCTTACTTGACTGTGACGTGTCATGACCAACAGAGGAGGCAAATTTAACGAGTAGAGAAAAGAAAATATTGAGATGCTAGCGGAAGTTATGTAATAAAAGCACCTCTGCCAAACAGTAAATGATAGACTAGACAGCTTTTAGTTATTTAGCATTATATTTAATTATCAGCTACACTCACCAAGTTTTGCTTTTTTTTTTTTTTTTTTTTTCATTCTCAGAAGTTTAACGTTTTTTTTTTTGTTTGTTTTTTTTAACTGAGTGGCTGTCCTCGCTGTCATTAGGTTTCTTTAAACAGAATCATGCACTCCACTTGCAGTGGCAGGGAGTGGAGTCAGGTGGGGGCCCCAGTAAATTAGGTCAGGTCTCTCCTACTGTCACTGCAAACTTTGCACATTGCAACTACTGTGGTTGCTCACTCACCAGATCAAAGCACAGATTTCAAACGGTCTAATGTCCATTCCTTGTGTTTCTTGGCCCAAACAAATCTGTTCTACTTGTTGCTTTTCTTTAGTAGTGGTTTCTTAACAGCTATTTGATCATAAAACCCTGACTCCTCTGAACAGCTGATGTAGAGATGGGGTGCAGTGACTGCGCCTGAGGACACATTCAAAGTTTTGGCAATTTTCTGGACTGACTGACCTTCAGTTCTTAAAGTAATGATGGACTGTCATTTCTCTTTACTTAGCTGATTGGTTCTTGCCATAATATGAATTCTAAAAGTTGTCAAATTGGGACAATCAGTTGTATACCAACCTGGCTTCTGCACAACACAACTAATTGTCCCAACCCCATTAAGCAGGCAAGAAACTCCACAAATGAACAAGGCACACCTGTGAAGTGAAAACATTTCAGACTACATCCTGAAGCTCACTGAGAGAAGGCCAAGGGTTTGCAGTGCTTTCAACAAAGCAGGGGGTGGCTATTTTCAGGATCTAAAATATTAAACACATTTAGAGTTATTTATATTTTTTCCTTTGCTTCATAATTCTATATATCTTGTTTCATATATTTGATGTCTTCAGTATGTATCTACAATGTAGAAAGTAGTAAAAAAAAAGTGCATCCAAACTTTTGACTGGTAGTGTATTCCAACTTCAGACCTACAAAGCCAAGAGTCCCAGCATTGTCTGTTGAACACATTGTTTTGATTTGGCTGTGTTTTCAGAGCAGCATTAGTAGTCACTGGCAACGTTACTGTGGACATGGACTTTTTAAGAGCGGGTGTGGAGGTCAGCTTTGATACAGAAGCATCACTGGACTTCATCACCACTGTCCAGTTCTCAGAATACCCCTTCCTGGTGTGCCTGCAGATGGACAAATCTACCTTCCCAGTCAGGTACTAAATAATAAAAAAAATGTTGCCATCTTTGAATAATCTCTTATATTACTTAACTTTTTATTTGTAATGCTCTTCCTTCAGTGAATACCTGACCAAGTATGAGAGCCTGCCATCAGGGAAGAGTGTTGTATCTCGCAAAGGCAGAAAGACACTTATTCCTGGTTCCGAATTCCCTCTTCACCAGGAGAACTCGAACATGTGCAAGAGGGTTTTCGACTCCAACTGGTAGAAAAGAAACCGTCAGTTTTCCACACGCCCAAGTGCTTCACTGCATTCAGGGACAGCAGCCACACCTCTGGTGTGACACAGCAGGTTGTGAAAAAGCAGTAAAAGACCATAAGAAAAGAAAAGTGGTGCATTTTTTTTTTTATTATTAACAACACATGCAATGTTTACATTCCTGTGAGTATTTAAGTAATTGTAATTCAAGCTTTGTTTCCAATCAGGGATCCTTTCTTTGTGTTTTTATGGATTTATTTGAAAATATATTTATGATGGGCACATACAAGATGTATGTTTTATATGATGTGAAATACTCAGCATGAATAGTGCCACTGTAATCTTCTCCAACACAGTTACAGCAAAGAGAAACATGTAAATATCAGACTTCAGAGCGCAGGTTAACTCAGAACACATGTGCTCTTTTCCCGAACCAATTCTTCTTCTTTCTTTCTTTTTCTTTTTCTTTTTCTTTTTCTTTTTTTTTTTTAAATTAAATGTATTTTAAAGAGGAGTAGTTTGTTTTACATCACTGTATAACCCTTGACAAGCTTGAAATCACTTCAGGGTAATGTTCTCAATTAATTCAGTCTTTTACAATCTTATTGAAGATTTAAGTTGCTCCTACAAAGTTAACAGATTTGTTAGCCTTGTCATTACTTTATGAATTATCAGATGAAAGCTGAATCAATAAAAGTGAATCCATTACCATAATTTATTTTTATTTTTTTGTATAGGAATATAATTGGTGTTTGTCTGAAAATGTTTGGGCACAACATGAACTTCATTCCATGTTAAGGAAACCGATTGGTTGACAAAAAGTGTACACTAAAAAATAAAGTTTTACATGTCAAAGTCGCTATATTTGTCTATTTACCCCATGAAAGCGATTGAATGTATGCATGTACAGTGCTGCGCAAACATTTTAGAGACAAAAATAAACTCAGGATGCTTCTAAAAACTATTTTATGTTTAAATTTTTGTCCTTATGTTCATGGAAAGTAACACAAATAGAAACAAATTAGGACTGTCTTGTGATGTGATTGCACCAATTACAACACCCGGCAACATGTTGGTGGATTCGGTTAGGATGCTTTGTTTGAATTTGGCTTTCAACTAGATCTTAATCACACACCTGCAAAGTTTTGTGATGGAGTCAAGTTGAAATCACAATCTAAAATAATATTGCAACTTTTACATAAATTAACCTTAGCTTCCTTGAGTATTTGGCAAGTATGTAGTTCCAGGTATCTTGGAGAACAAGCAGCAGTTAGTGAATTTAAATAGTCTTCTGTTTCTTTATGCTATCCAATACTGACTCAGAGTTCAAGACGTTAATCTGTATTCAAAATCCAGTGCTCTTTGGGAGCTGTAACGTCTGCAGCACTCCCAGTTTTCTGTTTCTGCGGTTGCTTCAGAATAAATGTGGGACTGCTTCATTTCCTCTGTTGGTACTGCATGATAAATAAAAATCTAACTTACACAAAATGTGGCTAAATTTGATAAAGACCCTCAAGTAACATCATCTACTTATATTTTCAGAAAGCCTACATGTTAACACCACTGAGCTTGCATAACAAAAACAGAGCTCAGTATTGACTGTTCTCCTCATCATTACAACACTGCCCCATGGCTTGTCATCAAGTTTGCTGCCACCTGATTAAACACACCTTTAGAGTTATGCTACTTTTTAAAAAAAATCTATTTATATATCTGTTTTTTAAAATTAGATAAGCAGAATGAAATTGATTCATAGATGTTAAATGAGGAGGAATGTAGCTATAGTCCTGGGCTAACGACACTAGAATTTAAAACTTGATACTGACACCCAGGAAAATATTTGTAGTTTTAGATACCACAAGGAAATATTTGACTCTAGTAAGAGGCATAATTTTGTTAAAATAAAGATTATAGTAATTCTGGTTCATCTAGATGTATTTAGCCAAAGCCCAATTTATTTCCTGTGCTTCTGGTGACTTGGCACCATGTTTTTATTGCTGATTAGATAGAGTTGGTGAGTATGGAAGCCTGTTTCCACCACTAAAGGAAAAAAAAAGGATCCATCACTCAAAATTTCCACTTATTTACTCGAAATTTTGAGAAAAGTAACTCGAAATTTCGAGTTAGCGCTGCCAATCAGTAATCTATGTGAATGATGTCATTTCCTTGTTACCCGGAAGCTGAAGCCCTCAGGTATAAATGCTACAGCTAAGCTACCAGTATTACATCCAGTCATAAATGCACAGATTGCTGAGTATTTTCACCGTGGCTTCAAAAATGATGAAATCCTTGTGTTATTAGCTGAATCACATGGCGTTACTATCAGCAAAGGTACTCACGAAAGCGCCAATGTGTTGCGATCCGGTTTTGAGTGTGCGAAAGTGACCTCATTCACGTAGATTACTGATTGGCAGAGCTAACGTGACATTTTGAGAAAAGTAACTCGAAATTGTGAGTTATGTTGCTACAAATTTTGAGTTATGTTTCTCGAAATTTTGAGTTATGCTTGGTTTTTTGGGGGGTTTTTTTAGTGGCGGAAACAGGCTTCCATAGATGAGGGAAGATGCCACTGTTTCTGTGCTGGTGGACTTTGCTCAGCTTCAGTGTGGAACTTTAAAAGAAAAATAAGACTTTTTAGATGCAAATAATTGTGTTATCATGTTAAATTAACACTCTGTTAATGTTATAGAGTGGCAGGACTGATAATGTTTGCTCCCATTAACATTGTCATTTTGTTATTAGGCACAGCCACTTGTCGCTACCTCAATGATTGTCACGGTGAGTAGAATGAGGGACCCAAAAGCGGAGCTTGTGGAATGAATAGACAGCATGTTTATTTACAGTGAAAAAGGATTAAAATAACAGTTCAATGTGCAAGCCGTCCTCCGTGTGTTCCTCCCCGTGTCCCAAACGTGTGTGATAGTGCGTCCGTGTCTTCCTCCAAAGTGAATCTGTGCTCGAGACTTCCTTCCCAGCAATCTCCTCTCCGTCCTTAATCCTAAGGATATAAGTACAACGAAGGTAAGTTCACTTCTCTTCACAGTCTTCATATAACAAGACACTCAAAGCTACTACCAGGCTTGGTTAATATTCCCACGCAGAGTGTCGCCTGACTCTGCAGTTAAGTAGCCCTCTTAAGATGGCGGATAATTGGGAAGAGCTGAGCACCGCATCAGTTGCCGGCGTGGCGACTCCCGTGCGGAGGTGCTTCCAGGTCAGATGTCACCCGGTGTCTGAAGATGACTTCTGTAAACCCACGGAAATGGAGAGGGAGGAAAAACAGGAGGACAACACACAGAAAACACACACAGGCAGGTCGGCCGTTGGGGACCATCCAGCCATGACAATGACAGCAGACAGCTAATGTGAGTACCTGCTAAACGTTAAATTGCTAACATTAATGTGTGTGCCAGCCAGATTAATTAAACTGTTTAATGCTTACATGTTGTTGAAATAGGAGCTATACTCACCTCACAAAATTCTTCCAGGGTGTCAGTCTTTAAGATGTTTTGCCAAGTTGTTGTTCTACTATTCACATGTTCAGCTGCTAGTGGGGGGAGGAGCTGTGTCTGCAGGTGCTAACAGCTGAAAGAAGCAAAGACACCTGCTACAAATGTAAATGTAAAAGTTAGTATCCAAGCTGTTGGCAACCTTATGTGCTGCCAACAGCACATAAGGTACAGAATAAAGAACTAAATTCATTCATCAGTTCAAGACAGCATACTCTTCATATAACATTATTTGATCCTTTAGAGGATCAAGGATAAAGGATTGATGTTTATAGGGGTAGCAACCCCTAACAGCCCTTACACACCAAGCGCACTGCAAAAAAGCAACACAAAATTCCAAACTTAATCTGTAAAATATATAAACACTGAACATGCGGCGTTTTTCTGGAAAATTTGTCCTCAAGAAAATGTGCTGGAAAAAAATGAGTTAGATATTAAGGGATGATGAGCTGGTTCTTATGTTTCTAAACAAGAAAGAGACGAAATGTAAACTCTGGGTTCATTCAGGGAGAATTTCATGGTTTTCATGGGTCTGTCTGGGGGGTATCTTTGTTTCTTTTGCTGCTTCCTGGAAAAAGCTTTTACTCTACCGTGATTTTTCATGACTTTGTGTAAGTTGGAGGTACAGCCACAGTACAAACACGGATCGTAGTTTGCAGTGTTTTCATTTACAGCTGTAAAGTACCTCTGCCTTCCCACTCACTGAGCAGATAGTTATTAGCAGCAGTAATTAGCATATGCATATCTGGGTGTTTTGCACGCACACTGTTCATGGGTGCATTATGTAAAGACAGCATGCTAGTCTTAGCTGACAATAGTTGTACAAACAGGGTCCCTTCTGGTTCCCAAACAGCTGAGCAATCAAAAATGATGACGTTAAGGCTTTAAAATGAAGAGTCCAGTCTATGTTCCTGTCTGTGAAGGCTTTACCAGCATTAGCATGGACTTTTGATAGATCATTGTTTTGCAATGATGATATACCTTAGTGGCTTAAGTGCAACTCACACTTGATGATCCAGGTGAGCTAATAAATCTTGTGTTTTCCCGTGGTACAACTGTGCCATCAGAGTACCTGCTGGCATCCGAGGACAACAACTGGTCCTTAATGTAGATTCTTTAGAAACCACTGAGAGCAGCTGGGGCAAACCAGTGTCTGCCAGTCTCCCTGCATCCATGGCAACCAAGTAAACACAGCAGCAAACTGTCAGGTTAAACTTAAGCCTGGCCGGGTGATGTTTCAGTGTCACCCGAAAGCTAACCTCGCACGCTGCTAGATGCCAAATGTGTACTTATGTTAGCATAAATCTGTTTGACTGCCTTTCACCCTCGTTTTTTTCTTTTCTTTTCTTTTCCTTTCTTTTCTTTTTTTTTTTTTGCTCAGTTGTGAAACTTTACAGTAATTAGGTCAGTGAAACTGAGTGTACAGCTATGGTAAACGCACAGGGAAGATAAAAGAAAGTAAAACAAAAAGTATATATCTATATATCTATCTATATATATCTATCTCTATATATATATATATA